CCCCAAAACCCCAAAACCCCAAAACCCCAAAACCCCAAAGATAAGTGGGAAAGTTGAGGATTTTGGAAAATTATTTATAATTTAGAGATACGAAAAATGGTAAATGGGGCTGGTGGTGAATGGGGGTGTGGATTAAGAGGTTTTGTGAGGATTAGTGGTGGAATGTATGGGTTGGGGGAAATGAAGGGAGATTTACTGTGTTTTCTTGTTTTTTTGGGACAAATGGAGAAGGAAGTTGGAAGAGATGGGCTTGGTTAGTTAAGAATCTTGTTTTCTTTATGGAGCGTAATTTTCGTACTTGAAGGGTAAGGTTTCGTATTTAGGATTTTTGTATGTGCAATGATTGTTTTTGATGCTTAATGTCAAATTAGGATTTATATTTCGTGTTGATTCCTTAATTTTGATCAAAACTATTTGAAAAGCTGCATAATTTATACCAGTTGGAGGTCTCAGAGTGGACAGACTATTGCTGCCCCTTTGAACTTCCCTATTGATACAGAATCAAACTTTATAGATCAAGAAAACCATTTACAAACTTCCAGTGATAATTTGAGTGTTGATGGCATGAGTCTATTCATCTCCAATCAAAGCTGGCCATAATTATCAGAGGTAATTACATCATTTTAATGAAAAATCATCTGATCCATTTTTCATAGAACCCCAACAGAAAAATTCAAACCCAGGCTACTCCAAAGTAAGCTCCTTCATTAATTTGCCTCCAAAGTCCCATTTATCCCCCTCAGTTTCCATCCAATTCCACTAAATCCATCTCTCAAGGTACAATTACGCCACAAACCTGATTGATTTAGGCCATTCCTACTACTATAAAAACATCCAAATCTAGCTGTTCAGTTACTAAGCTTCTTATAAATTGACATCTAATTTCTGTATAGGCTTAAAGCACAGGGACCTTTCTTTGTGTGGGAACGGAAGTTTAGACAGTGACGAAGAATGAGATGATTTTAATGAGGAGAGCGGAGATGGGTGTGATGCTGTGTGAGAGCTGGAAGAAGGGTTTTGGTGGGATGGGACGAAAGTGCAGGATGTGTGTGGAGATGGGTAGGTTAAGATGAGGAGGGGAGGGGGCTATGAGGAATCGTATGGTTGGATGGATTTATTGAGATGATGGGAATAAGGAGGATGGGGATGGATGTAGTAGTGACTGTCGTCAAGAAGTTGGTTATATATGTTATCCTAAAGACAATGAAACTAAAGACACTTGATACGAGTTATGTGGCGATGGAATCCAGTTTACCCACACTGAAGAAGAGAACTACTGAGATGACGGTAATAGCTACTCTGGTGATGGTTGAAGTAGGGACTGAAAAGTAGAAGAGGGGTTTACTTGTAGTGGAGGGAGTGCTACTAGTAAGGATGTGTGCAAGAGAGAATGAGCTGTTAAGAATTGTAAGGGGTGTATAGGAGAGAGCTACTTGCAGTGATATGTGTGTAAGAATGGGTATGACCTTCAAGATGATTTTAGTTGTGAGACTTCGAGTGTTCCAGAGAATGTTAAGCAGATGGGTAGTGCCACTACTGCTGCTTCTGGTGCTGCTACTTCTGTAGCTGTAGGTATATCGATACTGTCGATGTCTTCACCAATGGCAGTGTGGTTTCTGGCCAATCAGTTCCAATTGTTTTCACTGCTCTTGTTGGCAAATGCTGAGTTGCCTGAGAGTATAATTGCGTATATAAACAACAATGGGATATTTTCGTTCTCAATGGATTTTATACCTGTAATGAATAACCCATCTGAGAACATGCTTACATCGCAGGTGCATCGGAACCAGAGCAATGAGCAGCTTGGAAACATTGGGCTCGAATCAGAGAGTTCGCTGGTAAACCTGGGCGGTATTATGTGTACACTTTTGATGCTTGGAATGGCTCATCTGGTGATCTATGTGCTACCAAGGCCAGTGTATCCAGTTGGAGACACTTCATGCAAAGCCAGGGCAAGCAGGGTCCTGACTAAATTATGTGAGGCTTTCAAACTAGGAGTGTATGTAAGGTTAGGACTTGAAGGGTTTCAGTTTGTGTTATTGAGCTCTTTCTCAGAATCTAAATCAATGCAGTTATCAAGTATTAGTTCTGTAATATCTACTTGCTTTGGAGTAATGTGCTTGTGAGCATGAATTGCATTTTGGGGATTGACTGTGTTAGTATCTTTAAGAGGGTCATCAGAAACTGAAATTGAAAGATCCAAACTTGACGAGTTCAAGGCTGGTCTTCGTGAGTCTAAAGCTGCCCAACTATACACTCCAGTATTACTGCTCAGGAGAGTCTGGTTTGTGCTTTGGCTAGTCTGATGGCTTGGTTCTGCTCCAACACTAAGCGTTGGTGGTCTCATTGGGTTTCAGAGCTTGTACTTGTTATGATTGATCTTTGTTAGACCCTTCCAAGAGAAAGCCAACAACCTAATTGAACTGATCAACGAAATCATATTTAGTTTGCTTACATGAGTCTTGCTACAAGTTAACACAGAGTCGAGGTGGACTGGAATTATACAGACAGTATTTGTAATGGCGATGATGGCAAACACAGTTATTGTGACAATGATTTTAACAGGTGAGTATTAATTGGAGAGACCAGTATAGTTGTTTTCATCATTCAGATCAAAAGGAAATGAGAAAATACTAATCCCAATGTTCTCAGAAGTAATAAAGTCATCAATACAACAGATATGTCAATTAATGTAATTTTCTTTCCTAATTGCTCTCATCTTATAGAATCTTCAAAGAATGAGAAAGTTTACCAGAAACGAATGTTCAAGTTCAGCAATTTCCCTCGAATCTAATATTGTTTCAAAAATCCCTATTCCTATCTCTAAAACCCCTCCTATTCAACCTCCAGACATCAACTCAAAAGTCCCTCCAAGAGAAGAATTCAAATTTTAATTTTTGTAAACCTCTATCTTTAATATCTTTAATCAGTTCCAGATGCAATTATTTATAATGAATGCTAAGATTTCCTTTCAACAGAGAACAATTTTGGTGGGGTTTTGGGGTTTTGGGGTTTTGGGGTTTTGGGG